ATTAGATGTGAAAAACATTACCATTGAAATCTACCTGATGACTTTGTATCCATGCTCAGATGCCAAGGAGCTCAGAAAGTAAGTGACTGTGACGAGTAATAATCAGATATATAGAGATTAGAAATACATGTGCATCGTAATGTCAATTGTATTAAAAATGAATTTTTCTGTATAAAACTGTATTTTAAAATAATGAAATGGAGATCTTTTTAAAAGGTTAAAACCTCATTTAATTTTATGTCTAACTGTATTAATTCAACTGTGAAACCTAAAAGTTTACATCCAATATTGAAAGAGATGCACCTTCCACTGGAAATTGTTATTGAATATGTCAATGTTGTTGTAATGAAATGTTTCTTCCAATTATATGGTTATTAAATAAATAATTTTTTTAAAAAATAAGCAATTAGACTGGAGAGATGGCTCAGTGGTTAAGAACACTGGCTCCTCTTGCAGGGGACCTAGGTTCGATTCCCAGAATCCACATAGTGGCCAACAACCATCTGTAACTCCAGTTCCTGAAGATTTGATACCCTCTTCTGACCTCACAGGCATTGCACACATGTGGTACACTTACATACATGCAGGCAATACACTCATACACATAAAATAAAAATAATAAATAAAACATATTTCTAAATAAATATATATATTGAATCATCATAAAGCATGTCCCCTTATAATCACAGACCAGGTTGAGAAACAGAATTAAAATCCACACCATAAAAGTCTCATGCCACCAGTAGGAAATATAGGTTATTTTTTTCTTTTTTGGTCTTTTTGAGACAGGGTCTCCCTGTAGCTCTAGCTGTTCTAAAACTCACTATATAGACCAGGTTGGCCTTGAACTCACAGATATCTGCCTGCCTCTGCCTCCTGAGTGCTGCAATTAAAGGGATGAGTGCACTACCACGCCCAGCTAGGAAATATAGTTTCAATTGAATATTCTTTAGCATGTACTTTTAAAATTTATTTATTTTTATTTTATGTGTATGAGTGTTTTGCGTGCATGTATGAAGTGTACCATGTGCAAGCAATGCTCATGGAGACCAGAAGAGGGTGTCAGATCCCCTAGAACTGGAGCTACAGATGGTTGTTAGTTGCCATGTGGATGCTGGGAGCTGAACCTGGGTCTTCTGCAAGAGCAGCCAGTGCTCTTAACCTCTGAGTCGTTTCTCCATACCTCTTCTTCTATACTTTTAAAATTGAACCATTACCTATTTAAAAGCATCTATTTTCTCCTTTCTCCCCACTCTTCTCCAAGAAGTCATGGAAGTCTGTGATGGGGGGTGTTAACTATCAATTTGACAGAATCTGGAATCACCTGGGAGACAGGCTGACAGGAACACCTGGGAGGGATTATCTACATTAAGATTAGTCTCTGAGAATGTCTGTGAGGGATTTTCTTGACTGTGTTAAGCAATGTAAGAAGATCCATTTTAATGGTGGGTGGGACCATTCCCTGGGTGGTGAATCCTGAACTGTATAAGGTAGAGAAAGAGAGCTAAGCACCTATTAATCCCTTTCTGTTTTCTGGTTGTGGGTGAGATGTAACCAGTTGCTTCAGGCCTCTGCTGCCAAAACTTCCTTGCCATGATGGATTGTACTGGAACTGTGAGCTAAAATAAACCCTTTCTCCTTAAGTTGCTTTTGTCTAAGCACTTATCACACCAATAGGAAAAGAGATAAGACAAGGTCTTTAATTGTTTTGTGGGAAAAAAATTCACACGCTCCAAATTAATAATATTTGAATAGTTAAACTCTACTGACCAGGCATGATCCCATGATCTCAGGACTCAGAAGTCTGAGGCAAGAGGATTCATGAGCCAGAGGGGAAGCCTGGACTATATGAGGAGTTCCAGGCCAGCCTGGGCTACATAATGAGATCGTGTCTCAAGAAAAAAAAATAAAAAACCTATTGTATTCATTTATATATATATATAATCTAGGGAGTTAACTAAATGTTAATGCGTTTAATCCTCACAACAATCCTATGATGTAATGTATGATGTAATCCTATGGTGTTTTGACTTCAACATATAATGAGAAAACAGAAAAACAGAGACAGAAGTTATACTAGAAATATGTAGCGAAGAGCCGAAATCTGTACTCAGGCAGTTGTATCCAAACATGCAAGTTCTTCAACATTAGGTGGTATTGTCTCTATAAATTCTAGAAACCACAGTCTGAGGCATTGTAGACTCTAGCTTCCTAGCAAGTAGAGAAGGGGGGCTAGTTGGGAAGAAGAAAGGGATTCGTGGAAATGGAAGAGGGACAAGAGAGGGTAATGTATGTATGTGTATGGACCAAACACATTATGTACATGTGTGAAAATGTCATAATTACACCCATTAAGTATAATTAATGTATGCTAATAAAAATAACCACAAAAAGACCTGACAGAAAGCAGTGAGTCTGAAGTCCGGGGAGTACCAGGCTGGCAAACTCTGCAAAGCACTTAAACAACCTTTGCAGGACATCTGTGAAATAAATTTCTCGGTTTCCACTGAGAGCTTCCTCAGCTCTGGAGCTCAATGTTTTTTAATGAACAAATAAGCTTTCTTCCTAAAAGTGGGCTATTAGGAACTTAAACTACAGAGATAGTTACAGGAGTGGTCAAGGATGTCTACTGCAGTATTATTTGTAATAGCAAAAATCTGCTCATATGTGTGTCAACAAGGGACTGGTCAGTGGACCATGCCTGAGAGGAGGCACAGCATTATTGTTAAGGGCACAGGCCCAGAATCAGGAAACCCAGGTCCTCAACTGGCTCTGCCAGATTTGCACAAATCTGCACAAGCTCTCTAAATTTACTGTACTTCAGTTGCTCTGACTATATGACAAGGGTAACAAATAGACCTGCCTCATAGCCTTGTTGCAAGTGCTTTCTGGTATTTAGCAAATATTCAAATGTTATCTATTATTGCAGCCACTCATCCAATGAAATGTTAGGTAGTTACTAAAAAGAGACAGATCTATACGCATTGACTTATCAGATGCCAACCATATATATTTTAGGTCAAAGAAAACAAGTGTCAGAATAGTATGCCTAGCAGAAGTCCAATTTTGTTAAGGCATTTAGAAATCTCTATGTAAATATGTTCAGAAAGAAAGCCAGGCAAATATACACCAAACTGTGGATACTTCTGGGGAGTTGCAATGCATAAACGAAATTCTCCTTTTTGCTTTACACTCTCTAAAAAAAAATAACACTATTCTCAGGAGGGAAAAAAAACCATCAAGAATAGAGAAGACTGCTAACATGGAGCTATGTGGAAAAGAGCAGGATAAGGGGATGAACTCTTTTCCAGGGAAGAGACTCCTTTCCTTGGCCCAAGGTGACCCTGCTTGACTATCTTCCCTCTCACTACCTGGATTTTCTACTAGATAGCTCGGCAGTAAGAGAGAAGACACACATTATGTGTTTGTAAAATCATTTCCTGCAGTGTACCCAAAATCCAAGTTTCTGATGTACCTTATTTAATGAATAGGTCAGAGAAACCCACAACTGTCAAACTGGAAGATCATCTTAGTTAACCCTTTCATTTACACATGGAAATATGGTAATGTATTCTTGAGAGAATAGCTATCAAGCAATTTTGAGAAATAAAATCTATTTCCCAAACTAAAAGATACATCCTCACGGGTGAGAATTTTATTCCAAGAGTCATTTCATTTAATAAAGCTGAAACTTTTAGACACTGACAATGAATTGTGTTAGTAGACCACTTTGAAAATGAACTTGACAATATGTCTCAAAGATGATAATGCTTTTATTTTGTGGCAGGACAATTACACTCCACATAATCTTCCTGATAGAAGCATTCACCTACAAATACCTTCCTATGAGTGAACATAGTAGCCCTAAGTGTCATAGCACCAAGCTGGAAATTGTCTAAACATCCACCAATAGCAAAATGGTTAAATAAATTTTGGTTATGTTTATAAACATATTAGTAAAATATGAGTGAACTAGAGCCACATATTACAACATGGATGCATCTCACAAATAAAATATTGAATAGAAAAACAAGGTGTAGAAGAATATATATTAAAAACAATTGACATAAACTTAAAAAATATATGAAGCAACATATGTTATTTAAAGACATATACATAAGGAATAAAGTATGGATAAATGCAAGAAAATAGCAAACACTATATCCAGGATAATGGTTATTTTGGAGGGAAGAAGCTTTAATTATGGAAGGATAGACTGTACTGGCAATATCCTTCCTAACCTGGACATATTATCCTTTACACTATTTTGAGTGTACAAAATATTTCATAACATAATGCTTTTTATAACACAACAAATCCCATACTAAAAGGAAAGCTGATCATTTTTTAATATAAGAAGATACTAAAAGAAATGTATTAAATGCAGGTGTTGCACTCAAAATAAATCTTTTTTTTATTTTCCTGGGACTAGTTTCATAGGAAGGAATCTTCTAGAGAAGTAGCAGTTGGATAGTCAGCTGGGAATCAGGAGATAATCTCAGCACCTCATTAGCTATAGGAAGCAGAACAATTTTATTAATCTCTAGGGTTTGCATGTTTAAAAGGCAATATTGGAACAGATTATCTTACAGATTTTCTTTTCAGATGACTGATTCCTTCAAGGTTTTTTGTTTGGATGATTGGTTAATTGGTTGTTTAACAGCAACTGCCAAACCCATTCCTGTGAGATACTAAAGTGTTTTCCATGTCAAATATTATTCCCCAGTCAAAGTATTTTGGGATATACTGGGTTAAACAAAATGACTTGGATTTATTCATAGCAGTACTTCCTGGAGGCTTTAATGTGTTTTATGTACATTGTCACTCTCCAAGAGGGAAATTCAGCAAGGAAGCATTTCCAAAAAATTACACACAACACACACATACACCAGACATACACAGACACACAGACACAGTCACAGATACACAGACACAGACACAGACACACACACAAACACACACACACACACACACACACACACACACACACACACACACCTCTTAAAACAGAATCTATTAACATTCTCCTAAGACATGGGGGCTTGGTAACTCTTGTCCTTTTAGAAAGATTTACTTACTATTTTAGCCGTCAGTGTGTGTTTGGGATCCTTTGGAAAGGCTGATGAGATGACTCAGTGGGTAAAGGCGCCTGCTATCAAGCCTGAGGACCTCAGTTCAATCCCTAGGACCCACATGGTGGAAGAAGAAAATTGACTTCCTCGAGTTATCCTTTGACTTCTATTCCCAAGCCATAGCATAGGCCCCTCCCACCTCCCCCATGCACACAAAATAAATGAAAGTGGAATAAAAAATAAAAGAATAGAATCCCTTGGAAGGGAGGCATGTAGTTTCATAGTATAACATCGCTGAGTGGGGTTTCTCTTCGTGAATGTCTCTGATCGGTTTATAAGGCTATCTTCTCATTCTTCATTAAAGAGATCTATCTTCACAGGCATGGTAGCAGATCCCACATCAGAAACTTCTTAGCATCTGTGTTAGGAAGGCTGCATTCCAGGTGTCCTCTTGACACCTAGCTTTTGGGTCTTTACTAAGTTTGTTACTTCAAGCCATGCTCCCTTACTTCGGATGATAGCAGAGCCGAATGGTGCTCCAGGTGGGAGCTCAGAGCTACTTAGGTAGGGCTTAACACCAGGAGGTATAAGTCTCTTCCCATGTGCCTTCATCCCATAGTAAGAATTGGCAGGACTCAGCACTTCAAGGCAGAGAGGCCTGTTCATACAGGGAAGGGACAAAACACTGACTTCAACTTTCAGCACTGCTTTTTCAGAGGGGCTTTAAGCCCTGAGGTTCTTTGAAACCATTACCCTACCCCAAGTCTTAGAAGAAAATCTCCTGAGGTTTGTGGCTCCCTCAGGACCTTTTTGAAAGGTAATTTAATTAGGGGTCTTTAATCTAGAAACAAAGATTCCTTTGGAAAAGTCAGTAGCTAAGGTGAACTATACATAGAGCTTTTTAAATGCCTTTGTTCTTTTGAACAACAAAAAAGAAAGCATAAAAGTATGTTATTTTCCTGACAGCATGCACAGTGCTTTCAATAGAAGCTAGCAGCAGATGCTACCAAGATCCCTTCTCATTTACCCCATCCTACCCTAGCCTCCTCACCCACTTGGAACCTACACCCATGAAGCCTGTCTCTACCTACCTAAAGAAGGATAATACTTACCTACCCAGGCTCACTTATCCAGCTGGGTCACTTGACCTGAGGCTAGGAAAAGTGTGGAGAATGGAAGGAAATGGGGTGTTGGATTCTAGAGAAGTAAGCTCTATTTCAAATCACTCCAAACTATGCTCTCAAGAGTCGAAAGGTGCCTCCCCATTACAGGGGACAGAGAGGAAACCAGAGGAACAGACAATGGGGGAAAATGTATCAGGGAAGATGAAGGGAACCAGGAAATCAGCACAGAGATTCCATGGGCCCTTCAGCCCCAAGCTGAGCCCAGTTTAGTTCAGGAAAGAACTCCTGTGTCCTGTCTGCTGGCCAGAATACCCATTTGCTCAGAAAATCTGCTTGGAGTTCCTGTGTTGTGTGTTCTTTCCAATGAATGCTTCTCACACACCTCCCCTTCCCTCTTGCCAAGAAATCTACCCTTAGACAAATAGTATGCCATTGAAAACCAAATAAATAAATAAATAAATAAATAAATAAATAAATAAATAATAAATAAATTTGTGTGAAATAAGCAAACCAATCCTGACAAATGGATTCAGTGAGGTAACTAAAGGTGCTTGGCACCAAGTCTGATGACCTGAGTTTGATCCCCAGAATTTGCACGGTAGAAGGAAAAAACTGACTAATTCAAGCTGTCCTCTGACCTCCACATGCCTGCCATGGCACTCATTCCCTATACCAAATAAATAAATAAATAAATAAATAAATAATAAATAAATTCCTCTATCCTATCAAAGAAACAAACCATGGACCTTCCTATTATTCATTTTTCAGATCACAATTGCTCAAATTGGCTTGAGTTACTATTCTTGGGCATTTTTTTTAAGACTCCAATCAGTGGCTAGTTCATTACAGGCATTTTTTAATGCAAGTTTTCCCCCAAAGGCACATGCAGGCAGACAGGCAAGCGCACACATCCACACTCACACAGTACCCCTGAGGCTTCCCTTCTCCCAGTCATTCCCTCTCTGCCAGCAGAACAAGGGCGAGGCTTGGAAATGTTTTTTCTGTGGCCTACCTTCCGATCCTGTCAGGTCTGAGAAGCAGGCAGTAGGTCTAAGAAGCTGGGAGGCCAGGGCTAAGCTGCCTCTGTGAATCAGCAAAGAAGTCCCGAGACAGGGATGCCGACAGCTGCTGTGTGCTCACTCTCCCTGTCTCTCCCACCTCCCTGTCCTCCTTCTCCTCCTCCTCCTCTCTCGGAGCTGCTCAGTGTTGCTATGCAATCATCATCAGGACTAACTGCATCACTCCGACCTCAGGGAAAGATACCCTTGACTGGACAGATGCAGAAAGAGCAAGGACAGTTTTGTGAAAGTACCAGAACCCTGGCAGCTCTCAGAGATTTCAGTTCATTAGAAGCAGAGGAGGAAAGCGGAAGAGCCCGAAAAGCAGAGGGAGAAAGGGAGAGAGGAGGGGAGGCTTCCATTGGGAGGAGGAGACAAAAGAGCCCCGGAGATGAATACAAGCTGCCGAGCCTGTGCAAGGAGCCTGGGCCCCAACTTCCATGGATCCAGCCCAGAGCCAAAACCAACTTCAGAGCCAGCAGCTGGCAGGGCCCCTCAGCAGCCAGTCCAGGATTCAATTTCTGTGCCGGGAGATGAAACACTCTGCTCTAACAATTGTCATTGGTACTCAAGGTCCGATCTGGCACAGCGCAGTCTGCCAGTGACCTCTGATCTATTCGCTCTCTCTTATATCTTACATGGGGGTGGGGGTGGGGTGGGGACGGTGGGCTAGTAAAGGAAAGAAAATGGACCTTGAATGATTTGAGAAAATAAAGCTCCTCGCTGCCTCACTGACTACCCCACTCACTGTCACTGATTTTGTCCACATCAGCCCCTTACTCTTCTGTTAAAGGTTTACGTTCCAAACACCCTGGGTGGGGTATATTATATTCCTTTACTGGATGCTTAGCACACAGCAGGTTACTTAATACATGCATGTTGAGTGAATAAATTGAATGAATGGATGGCTGGGTGAAGGCAGTCAGAAAGCCCCCACTCCCTTTCTCCTACCCAACAGTCCAAGGCTTGAAGCCCTAGCAGCTCCAGGTCATGGGTAAAAGATAAGAGAATCATTCTCTCCCCCCACTTCTGAGAACAGGGTGTATATGAGGGGAAGAGATGGTTTGAGAGTGTTACTGAATTCCACTGAGTGGCTTGTGAAAACTCTCTGTGGGCTAATGGCACTGGAACTTAAAACAGAATGCTTCCTGGTTTGTCAGATCTAGAACTAGTATTATGTGTCTAGAAGACAGAACTATTACTATTACTGTTATTGTTATTATTTTAGAGTTACATTTTCTTTAGTTTTGTGATCTTTTTAATGTCAAAACTTTTTTGGGGGGTGTTTGTGTTGAGACAGGGTCTTATGTATCCCAAGCTGGCCTCAAACTTGCTATGACGCTAAGGATACCCTTGAATTTCTAATCCTCCTGCCTCCATCTCCTAAGTGCTGAGATTATAGACATATGCCACCATGCTGGTTTATACGTGCTAGGGACTAAAGCCAGGGCTTCATGTATGCTGCTAGGCAAGTATACCACCAACTGAACTCATCCCCAATTCTGAGAAAAATATTTAAAATGATCATTTTTAATTGAAAAATAATAATTGTGCATATTTAATGGAGCATAATTTGATGTTTTAATTATGTATACATTGTAGAGTCACTCTAGCTAATTAACATATTACCACCTCACCAATTTACTATCTTTTCTTAGTAAGAATGTTAAAAATATAACCTTTTAGCAACTTGAAAATACACGGTGCATTACTATCTGCAGTCACACAGTGCAATATTGTCATTCTTAGTTTTCAATATTATTATTCAAAAGCCTCTGTGCATGTGTGTATGTGTTCTTCAAGAAGAGATTTTTAAAAATGGAAGCTGCTGGTTTCAGCAAATGACTAGAAATAAGGCCTGATCTTTTCAAAGTAAGCAAAATAGGAAACACCTACCCCTCCCTGAAGCTTTTATTGTTGCATGTGTAGCCCTCATATCTAACCTAAGCAGCAACAGGCAGGCCTCAAGCCAGGGCAAAAAGGGTCATTGGTTTCTGGACTGAGGAGACGGCTCAGTTGGAACAGTGCTTGCTTCGTAAGCCGGAGGACCTAAGTCTGATCCCCCAAATGTGAAAAGCCAGATGAGGTGGCATGCTTTTATAATCCCAGTGATGGCAAGATGGGCAGCAGGAATGGTAGGATTCCCAGAGCCTGCTGCTCAGGTAACCTAGCCCACTTTGTAAGTTCCATGACGAGAGACACTGTCTCAGACGAAAAGTGGAAAGCACATTAAGACATTTGAGGTTACAGTCTGACCTCCACACCCCCATACACACTCCACACATGCATGGGTACACCTACAGAAACACCGACCCAAAAGAAAGAGTGATTGGTTCCTGGGAGAGCTTTTCAGAATGCATTCAGCTTCTCAACATATATACCTTAAAGAGAACTTTTAGCTCACCAGCTTCACTCAGGCCTTACTGTGCCCTTGGCCCTAGCGGCTTATAGGATTTACTACCACCATCCAGACCCAGAGCCTCAAGAGTGCTTTACAACTGATTTGAAATGACTCTGAGGTGGGGAGCTGGCTAGACGAAAGACCAGAGAGAACATTATGAGAAATTATTTGAGCTGGCACCAACATAGAATGAAAATGCAGATACACAGCAAACATGGGGAGCCTGACTCACTGCTACCCCTTGGCACTACCTCATCAGTACATCCCACAAAACCATAGTCAAGATCAAAAAGGAGGAAGGTGAGGGAGCCTGCTGGGGTACATTGCTCTTCACTGTGGTGGCAGCTGGACTTGCCCAGGTCAGAAGAAGCACTTGGAATAATCCTTTATTATGTTTCTCTTTTCAATCTGTAGAGAAAGCATTCAGATTATGGATACAAAAATACAGTGCCAGTCTCTGTGAAAATAAACCCATCAGATTTATCTTGAGGAGTGCAACAAAATGCTTCTCAAATTTTCTTTCTCACAGACTAGCATAGCAGAAAAGATCTTTCTTCCTTGTTCCTTAAATTAGGGCTTCTGAGGGCCCTTGTGAAAATGAAAGTATTACCTATGAGCCAGAAAACATTAAGCCATCATCAGCGGCTGTATCTATTATTCTTCTCATTGTTGTACCAGAACATCTGTCAAAAGCAACTTAAGAAAGGACTGGGGCCAGAACCTGCTGCCAATTCTGATGACCTAAGTTTAATCCCCAGGAACTAGTTTGGGGGAAGGAGAAAACCAACTTCCACATGTTGTCTTCTGACCTCTACACGTGTGCTGTGGCATGAGCACACCCCCCACTAAATAAAAGGTCAAATAAATTGTAATAAAGGTCTGTTTGGGCTCATCGTTTAAGGATGCAGTCCATCACAGCAGGGAATACACGGCAGCAGAAGTGTGAGGCAGCTGCTCACGTTGTATCCACAGTCAGGAAACAGAAAGCAATGAATGCTCGTGCTCAACTCATTTTCTCCTTTTTATTCAGTCCCAGACTCCAGACCATGAGATGGTGCCATCCAAATTTAGGGTGGGTCTTCCATTTCTGTTAACCCAATCTAGACTCTCCCTAACACACTTTCCCATAGGTTTGTTTCCTAGGTGATTCTTAGTCCTGTCAAGTTGAAAATATTCCCATCACAGCTAATAATTGAGATAGCTAATGAGTAAGGACCTAAGATTTAATTATTAGATTATTAATTATTAGATTATACCAAGAACAATAATAACTATCATTGAACATTTGCTACAAGGTAGGTACTGATTGAAATTGAATTGCTTTCCCCACCTGAGTAGCTCAGTTCATCTGCACAGCAAATGGTTTCTATTACTATTTCCATTTTACAGATAGGAGTGCTGTAACATAGTGAAGTTAAGCAACAACCCAAGGAGACTAAAGGTCATGTGGCTAATGAATTATGGATCTAAGGTTTAACTTAGATTTCAATGGCCAATGTCTACAGAATTAACCACTATGCTTATACTGCTTTTATTCACCTACCCATGGTCTGATCTAGTGCCAGACCTTGTAACTCAATGAGACAAATGTGACAAGGACAGAAGACTTTTTGTACTTTTCCGTAAGCTATTTTACTGACTCAAAATGTCTTCTTTTCTTTTATAGGTTAGAGATATAAGAAGCATTAGAAACCATTCTCTTTCTGTAGAATGCCAAGTAAGAAGACCCTAACAAAAATTTGGTTTAGACTACAACTGGAATATAAAGGAGGAAAAGACAAGGGACTTTTAGATGAGGTAGAGCTCTCTAGGTTGCCATGGTCTGCCACCCATGCCACCGTCCTCACCTACTCACTGTACTACCTGCTTAACTCCTGAGAACTGTGGTTTTCTGAGGAGTATTGGGATAAAGTTTTGACTTGTTATTTCGGAAGAGATAATTTATTTGCTCACCATCACAAATGGACAGTGTCCTATTTTGCTTCCCTACTGCTGTGATAAAAACACTGACAAAAAGTAATGTGGGAGAAGAAAGACTTTATTTTGTCCTACACTTTACAGCCCATTATCAAGGGAAGCCAGGGCAAGAGCTCAAGGCAGAAACTGAAGCAGAGACCATGGAGGAATGATACTGCTTTGCTTGCTCTGGCTTGCTGAGTTTGCTTGTTTATATAACTTAGGACCACATTCCCAGGGTTGACACCCCCACAGTGAGCTGGGTTCTCCCACATCAATCAACAGTCAAGAAAATGCCACATAGACACGCCCACAAGCCAATCTAATGGAGAGAAATTCTCAATTGATGTTACCTCTTCTCAGGTGTCTTAAGTTGACAATGAAGATTGACCATCACAGACAAAAAAATTTACTTTGCCATTTGAACACCAGGAAGACTCATTTTACCTGGAACACACCTGAACAAAGCAGAGCAAGCATATACCCTAGCTCAGATATTTCTCCGAGTAGAACAAAGACAAAGAAGGACAGACCACAAGCTTTGACTTTAGTCATCCTCAGTAACTATAAGAGAGTGTGCGATGCTCACTCTAGTACCACTGAGCCACATTTTGTAGGATGGACAAGAACAGGGAGACCACTTCAGGTAGAGAGAAAGACTATATATGAGCACAAATGTGAGGGAACATGGTTTACGAAGGGACTGTAAGTATTGGCTAAGTATGTTAAAACAGGTCTCTGGGAATGATAGGGGAGAAGGATGCAGGAAGTGAAGCGATGGAGGTACACCGATCAGGCCATGAAGGGACTGGAAGCACATGCTAAAAGAGCACTGAAAATTTTAAGCAAAAATATGATGTGATCAGATTTATGTTTTAACAATATCACCCCCAGTGGTTTTCATTCACAAAACCATTACT